ACAAGATCACAAGAGAATACAAGATCACAAGAGAACTACAAGATCACAGGAGCACTACAAGATCACATGAGAACTACAAGATCACAAGAGAACTACAAGATCACAGCAGAATACAAGATCACAGGAGAACTACAAGACACAGGAGCACTACAAGATCACAGGAGAACTACAAGATCACAGGAGAACTACAAGATCACAGGAGAACTACAAGATCACAGGAGAACTACAAGATCAGATCACAGGAGAACTACAAGATCACAGGAGAACTACAAGATCACAGGAGAACTACAAGACACAGGAGAACTACAAGATCACAGGAGAACTACAAGATCTCGGGAGAACTACAAGATCAAGGAGAAGTACAAGATCACAAGAGAACTACAAGATCACAGGAGAAGTACAAGATCACAGGAGAACTACAAGATCACAGGAGAACTACAAGATCACAAGAGAACTACAAGATCACAGGACAACTACAAGATCACAGGACAACTACAAGATCACAGGAGAACTACAAGATCACAGGAGAATTACAAGATCAGATCACAGGAGAACTACAAGATACAGGAAACTACAAGATCACAAGAGAACTACAAGACCACAGGAGAAGTACAAGATCACAGGAGAACTACAAGATCACAGGAGAACTACAAGATCACAAGAGAACTACAAGATCACAGGAGAACTACAAGATCACAGGAGAACTACAAGATCACAGGAGAACTACAAGATCACAAGAGAACTACAAGATCACAGAGAACTACAAGATCACAAGTGAACTACAAGATCACAGAAGAACTACAAGATCACAGAGATTACAAGATCACAGGAGAACTACAAGATCACAAGAGAACTACAAGATCACAAGAGAACTACAAGATCACAGGAGAACTACAAGATCACAAGAGAATACAAGATCACAGGAGCACTACAAGATCACATGAGAACTACAAGATCACAAGAGAACTACAAGATCACAGCAGAAGTACAAGATCACAGGAGAACTACAAATCACAGGAGCACTACAAGATCACAGGAGAACTACAAGATCACAGGAGAACTACAAGATCACAGGAGAACTACAAGATCACAGGAGAACTACAAGATAGATCACAGGAGAACTACAAGACCACAGGAGAACTACAAGATCACAGGAGAACTACAAGACCACAGGAGAACTACAAGATCACAGGAGAACTACAAGATCTCGGGAGAACTACAAGAACAGGAGAAGTACAAGATCACAAGAGAACTACAAGATCACAGGAGAAGTACAAGATCACAGGAGAACTACAAGATCAAGGAGAACTACAAGATCACAAGAGAACTACAAGATCACAGGACAACTACAAGATCAAGGACAACTACAAGATCACAGGAGAACTACAAGATCACAGGAGAATTACAAGATCAGATCACAGGAGAACTACAAGATCACAGGAGAACTACAAGATCACAAGAGAACTACAAGACCACAGGAGAAGTACAAGATCACAGGAGAACTACAAGATCACAGGAGAACTACAAGATCACAGGAGAAGTACAAGATCACAGAGAACTACAAGATCACAGGAGAACTACAAGATCACAGGAGAACTACAAGATCACAGGAGAACTACAAGATCACAAGAGAACTACAAGATCACAGGAGAATACAAGATCACAAGTGAACTACAAGATCACAGAAGAACTACAAGATCACAGGAGAATTACAAGATCACAGAGAACTACAAGATCACAAGAGAACTACAAGATCACAAGAGAACTACAAGATCACAGGAGACTACAAGATCACAGAGAACTACAAGATCTCGGGAGAACTACAAGATCACAGGAGAACTACAAGATCACAGGAGAACTACAAGATCACAGGAGAACTACAAGATCACAGGAGAACTACAAGATCACAGGAGAACTACAAGATCACAGGAGAACTACAAGATCACAGGAGAACTACAACAAAACGTTTTCAGATATATCTGTATATCTTAATAATATTTGTGTCTTTTTCAGGACCGTGGTGGCGTCTTGCTCCTGGGGATCATCTGTGTGGGATTCCTGTTTAAATTGTTCATACGAAGTAAATGCTGTAAAAGTGAATGCTGCAACAGAAAGTTTGTCTATGACAAACTGATTCTGGAGGAGGAGGGGAAAGTCCTGAAGAAGGTGCTGAGGAAATCAGCAACAGACCAGTTGATTAATAAAGTCCAGACCAAGATACAGGAGGGACACTGGGGGGAGTGTTTCAATGTAGCTGAGGAGCTGATTAAAGAATTAACCCCACCAGACGCTCGAGGACAAGCAGAGGAACAGGTATGTTTCTCATGTGGCCTTACTGTCTCTGTTTTTCTTCTTTTATTTATATTGTTCGTTTTTTAAACGTACTGTCCTGTGTATTTGCACAAGTTTTCCAATGTGGTTTTTATACTGAATATGGCAATAAACTGAACTGGAGAGAAGAGTTGCAGAGCACCAGGTGAAGAAAGAACAATCAAATGATTTCTCTCAGCTTGTCTCTAGGTTCATTAGATTTTAAAAAGGTTGTTTTTGTGTTTGTGCTCCTGCAGTTTCTTAAAGGGAGAAAACATACCACACATCAATATAACAGAAATCAAGTATATCCTGTGTAAATATCTCTCTGAGTCATGACCAGAATAAAAAATGTAATAAACTTTTTGCAGGGCCCGGAGAATATTCCACTCAAAGAGGCTTTAGGTAAATCTATCCATCCTAAACTAACATTCATTTTATTCTGAAAATCCCTGAACTATCACCATTACTTCAGTTTCCTCAGTGCTGAGCTGTGTCTCTGTTGTTGTGTCGTTTGTGACTAAAGCTGTTTTTGTCCAATAGGAGCAGACCAAACAGAAGACGTGGAGTCTAAGGTGTGACCAGTCACTTCCTGTTCCAGAGTTTAGGAATTTGATTTTGAGCCACTGTGTTTCAAATTGTAATTGTTTTTAATTGATCTTAGTGGTTTTTGCAGAGATATAAAGACTACTTATATATTCTACTCAAGTAAAAGTACTGTTACTTTAATGAAAATTTACTTAAGTACAAGTAAAAGTACCAGTTTAAAAATGTACTCAAGTAAAAGTTACTTAGTTACTTTTTTTAACAACGCATCTCTTGTGTGTCGTGATTAAAGGACGAGAGGATTTTAATCTCAAAGTTTTTTTAATTAAAAGCAAATCTTTACAAAGATTTATTTTTTCAGATAAATATTTTCTTTTCTACCTCATTGACAAAAACAAAATATACATAATGATGGATAAATAATCAAGACTTATATGTTCAAGTAATCAGCTGTTTTATGAAGGGAAATGTTTAAACTCTTTAAGAAAATACTAAAGGGGTCTTTGTCTCAATCATAAACAGTGTAAAGAGTATTTTAGTGTTCTTAGTTTTATTATTCTGAGGCTGGTTAGTCTCAAATGCTGATTTAGCTGCAACTAAACCTGCGATGAAAGATAATCCATTTATTGTTTTAAAATGAGCCTTTATGAGCTTATATTAGATGTTTTAGTCACTGTGTGTTTACCTCTTAGCTACTGAAGCTTCTAACTGAGTCTGTTTGGTCTGAAGTACTTTTTTTCACACATCTGAAATGTGTTAACTTGTTGCAGCAGCTTATAACACCCAACTTCCTGATACGTTCAGCAGGTAGACCCGCTCTAGTGGAGGGGCTTATCCGTGCTGCAGTAGCTGAAGTGGCACTAAGCTAAGAAAAGGCTCTCTCTCTCTCTCTCTCTCTCTGTCTCTCTCTCTCCATTCTATCCTGTGTAAATGTGTCTGTGAGTCCTGACTGTCTACAATGAGGGAGAAGCTCGAGTCCTGCTGGCTGTGTTGTTGTCAGAGCCGTGTTTACATGGACGGGACGGCTGGCTCCTCCCCTTCTATATAAAAGCTGTTGAATTTGTTTTTATCATATATGTTCTTTTTCTTTTATTAACATTTAATCTTTTTATAATTTCATTCATATGTCAAATAGTCGCTACGACTTTTGTTTTTTTGGCTTTTATATTTCCTGTCAATCCTACACACACCCGCACACACACACACACCTATGCACCTGTGAGGTCAGGATAACTGTGAACTTAGTATCACCTGTGTTACCTTGTATGCTTTGACATTAAAACCACATATGAACTTGGTATCAACTGTGGCTGTATCATGTTTCTGTGAATCTGCATTGTTGAGGTTTTACAGAATCTTGAAAAAAGAGACCGTCTGGCTATAAAAATGCTGGAAAAGCTGATCGGGGTTCTTTTCTACTTTTCTAAAGGACTCCACGTCACTCTGACTTTTGAATCCCCATTTTGGGACTTAGTCTCTGAGACCAAGATCTTTTAAAACCTCAAGTGTCTACACTCTCGGGATTAGACTTTGGTCTTTGTGTTTTGCTTTTTACATTTTTATATTTGAACTTTTACTGTTTTGTATTTGCATTTGGAATATTATTTGAAGTTTTTAAATAAATTTTCGTGAGCTTTTTCAAATCATTTTCTGACTGAAGTCATTCACACCACAAAGACCTGAGTCTCTCTTAAGGTCCCCGTGAACCTCAGGAGGTAAGCTTGAGCAGTCACACCACGGCACACTTCTACTGACTTTTACTACATTGATTTTTTTTTTTTTTGATTGATTAATTTATTTTTGTGTCATGCACACAAAGCTCATGGGCTTATAAGACACCAAAGAATTAAGTTGCATGTGAATGTGTAAAGAATGTGTTCTGTCTTTTTTCCCAGGCTTTACAAATAAAATCTGCTATAAGAAAGATTCCTTTTTTAAAACATAACTCAAGTTTTTCATCATCGTCTAACCAAAAGAAATCAACATAATTTGAAGACATTCTTTTAAAAAGAACATCCCTGATGTCAGCGTACATCGGGCAGTAAAACAAAAAGTGAATCTCGTTTTCAGTTTCTCCTAACTCACACAACAAACAAACTCGATCTTCCTCTGGAATGTCATTAAACCTGCCGGTCTCTAAAGCTAAAGGCAATGTTCCTGAACGTAGCTGAGCTCAGAGGGATCTTTGTCTTTTAGTTAAATTAAACTTAGCATAAGCTTCTACGCTGTAGCAATCCTTTATGAGACAGTATGTTCTTAGTTTTGGTTTGCACCATATATCCACAGACCATTTCTCTTTGTACATTAGAAACATATTATTCTTTATCTCCTGAATATCACAAGTTCAGTTATTTAGAAAAATAAAGGACATATTATTCTTATGGAATACAGATTGTATCTCCTTTGCCCATGGGTGACAATGGCAGGTATCCAAATAAAACTCTTTTTTGTGAGTCGCTGATCCGACATCTTTACAAGTCTGTTCCAAAGCCGAAGCATTTCACATTTATGTCTGATGTTTGGAGGCTCCCATCCCAAATCTCCATTCACAGCGAGGACTGCCATTAATTTATGGACTCCCAAGAAGGACCTCAGAGCTCTCTGATGTACAGAATTGCAAATTAGATGTTCCAGGAACCCCCAGACACCAGAGGGAAGTCAGACACTGGACACAAACATGAATGATAGAGTTGTGTATAAGTCTGAAATCCCAGATTACCACAGTGTTTAACTTTGTTCAGTACAGATCCCAGAGCTCGACCAGCTGACTGAGTCAAAACACACACAGCTTCTTTAAAAGTCATGTGTTCATCCAATGTCGAGCCAAGATATTTATATTGATCAGCATATGATAGCACTGTGGTGCCTAAATTAAAAATACCTGGACTTCTTACTAATGATTCTTCCTGAAATGTACTACCTGTGTTTTGTCTTCATTTGCCACTAGTCTCCATTTCAAGCACCATTCTGCAACAATATTCTGCATAATTTGTAAGTCATCTTCATGTTCAGCCAGTAGAACTACATCATCCGCATATAATAATATTCCAACAATCTGATCATCCACTTTAACTCCCACATTAGAGGTTTTAATTTGAAGAGCTAAATCGTTGATGTAAATAGAGAACAATGTCGGAGGCAAAACATCTCCTTGCTTCACTCTAAATTGTTGAGGAAACCATCCAGTTGTGTATTCATTAACCTGGACGCAGGTGCTTGATAAAGAGACTTCACAGCAGGATAAAATTTCCCATTCACACCAGCACTTAACAACCTATAGTGTAGAAGTTCCCTATTTATCCAGTCAAACGCCTTCTTGAAATCAATGAAACAAGCAAATGTTGATGTCTTTTCCTTCATTCTAGCACGTATTATTGAGGTGACTACATATACATGATCAATACATGCTCTAGCTTTTCTGAATCCATTTTGCTCATCCACCAGCACACCTGTTCTCTCAAGGTGGTCAACTAGTCTGCAGTTTAAAATCGAAGAATACAATTTATACATACAACTAATAAGACTTATACTCCTATAATTGAGTGCTATCCTAGGATCATTTTTTGAAGATTTGGGGATTGGTTTAATGATAGTTTTGTGCCACTGAGTAGGAATCATGCCATTATCAAAACAGGACTGAAATAACTCATAATATACTGAACAGCTTTGGAGACTTAAGCACTTCGTTTGAAATTTCATCAATTCCGGTAGCTTTTTTCAATTTGCATTCATGTATTACAATTTTTACCTCCTCTACTGAAACATTTTAATTCAAAAACCTATTACTATTATTTACAAGATAACATTTCAGACTCCATTACCTCTTTTAAGCTAATTGTTTCCTTCAAGAAAGCATCGTCAAATGAATCATTGCACCTAGAGAACAGATCAGCAAAATCTTTTTCCCATTTATCTAGTACAATTCCTAAAACAGAAGCACATTCCCCGCTCTCTAGCTTTATTTACATGGGAATTCCACTAGACTTTCTTGGCCCTAATCTATTAATTTCATTCTAAAACTGTTGGGGATTGTGGGTTTGAAGGTGATCAATGTGCAATGAAAGGCCTCTATTAAACTTGCGTTTCACTGTGCGTAACCTCTTGTCAAATTTAATTTGTGCTTCCTTGAATTCCATCCTCAGTCCAACTTTCATGTTTTTATTCATACATCTTAGAAAGATTTTCTCTGCTGTTCTTAAATTGTCCCACAGCAACTGCAATTCCTGATTCCAGAAGTGTTTGGAAGATTTTCTAAATTCATTATTTCTATTAGGTTTCCCCTTTAAACCTTTATTTAATTCTGTACAGACATTGCCACACAATTTATCATACCAATTATCCAGGTCCGGTTGGTTGTTTTTTAATACACCATAGTTGCTCAGTAAGGTCACTACAGTATATTATCAGAAGGACTCGATGAGAAAAATGAGTCAGGGGGTTGCCTTTGTGTTTTTCTTGCACGCCTACCTGGTAAATGCGAATCTACTTTGGCATAGTAAGGTGTAACTTGGATTTTTAGCATCAGTAAAGAATGGTCAGGTACTTTACATCTGTCACCCAGTAAACAAAAGTTGTCCTTTAATCTCTCTAGTAGCTCATTAGGGGTGAAAACACAAAATGTGACACAATTATCCAGGCCTTCATGTGGGACAATAATATAGTCTACCACCGCTTTTCCTTTAACTGAGATGGAGGTGAAATGATCATTCCCTAAAGGTATTCTACCACTAAGCACACAACACTTTGAATCTCTCAAAAACTCAACTAATATTTCCCCATAACTATTAACTGTACAGTCTAGATTATGTCTGTAAGGAGTGTTATCCACATCACTTATACAATCATCAAGATTACCAATGCGACTATTTAAATCCCCACATATATAAACAGCATCCACATCACACAAACTAAACATTTGAGCCGTTAAATGGCCAAAAAATTATGTGAGCCAATTGATCTTGTTGATCCTTCTGGGGGTAAATAACAGGTATAAATAACAAAACAATACCCAGAACACCTATTTTTAAATTCAAGTGCTAGTATCCCTTCCATTGATTTGTCCTTTACTTCAATTTCATAGGACTCAAACTGTTTATTTTTAACTAAAAGACCAACTCCCCCAGATCCTTTAACTGCCCTCTCATGCATTGTTCTATTGTGACCATACCAGGTATACGTCTGTAAATCAATAGTGTCATTTCCTTTTAAATGTGTTTCATTAAGTGAAATCACATCAGGGTTATGGCCAAGTAATATTCTTTTCCTGAGCTCACAGTTCCACTCTGTTCAGCCATTTATGTTCCAGTGTACTGAAGTGAGATTGTCAACATTTGTGGGTTGGGCAGTTACCGATTAGGTCTCCAGATTGTCTCTCGCCAT